TTTACTTTGGTCACCTCCTTTCCTGCTTTCTAACCATGGTCTGTCGTCTGCTTTGGTTTTCATTTCTCCTCCCCTCCCCCGTCCCCTGCTCTGGGCTCCTGACTCTTAATGCAGTCTTTCTACTGCTACTTATTGGCTCCTTCTTACAGCTGCCTTTTAGCCACACTCCCGATCTAAGGGTAGGTAAAATCTAAAGCCTGTCCCTCTCGATTAAGGGTAAATAAAATCAAAAATATCTCGGAGGTCCGGTGTGCAGCTGCGCACGTTAAAGGTCCATTGATGGAACCCTCTGAGTAGATGGAACCCGTTAGGTTTGATCGGCTCTCATAATCTGGTGGTTGCGCTTTTGCATGACCTAATGCAGTTATAAGCGCCGTAAAACTTTAACTTAATTAAATAGTAAATTCAATGATAGTCAAAGTTCTTACGTTCCGACACCTTAGTTTCAATGTTGACGTTTTAGTACTATCTAAAGGTAGAGTTTTTTCTATTACATTTTCAAACCAACAATCAGTTATAATACTACTTTTCGTTTATGAGGTTTATCTTGGTTTTTCACAATATTACTCACAATGAAAGTCTCTCCAAAACTAAAAAACGGTATCGGTTTAACGCCCCTATCAACACTGCCAGGTTATTTAAGAGGCGGGACCTCCGAGTTTAACGTCCATCTCCGAAAGGACCGAGCCAAAAGGGGCACTCGTGTACAGTGCCTTTCCCAATGACACAACATCGGACCGAGCAGAGGCTCGAACCACGAACCCACAATCTCACAACCACTAGGCCACCGACGCCACCAGTCCGAAACTTACGTGGCAAATGTTGTAAAGATCTGTAAGTTGCTTGTGAAATTTAAAAGGTACAAACAAAATGAGGGAAGCCTGAGGACTAACCTCTGCTGCTTGGGGTTTTGGGATTCACCCTCAGACACAAAGCATCAACCTCATTCCAGAGTCACCTACAATTCTTTTGCTTGTAAAGGATGCTTAAGAAATAAATTATGTGTATTTACCCCCCCCCCCACCCCCTTGTCGGAAATCGACACAATTTAGACAATTTAAGAGGCTGGCTTTCGACCATGTCTGTCAGGGCCATCCCGGACTGTGGGGAATACCACATCCCTGCTGAAGACCGAGATGCTCGATAACCCTTTTCACATCATTCTGGAATCGAATTTGGGTCTCCTGTGTGTGACAGCTAAGCCCCTAACCGCTACGCCACAGACGCTACTGTTTGTGAAGATCGAAGAAAAGGTAGATGTGAAATGGTATAGGCTTATTAATGCCTCTGTCAATACTATACGGTTATTAAAGAGGCAGGACCTCAAAGTTTAATAGGGGGCTCTCTTGGCCTAGAGGTTAAGGTGTCCGCCTCTCAGTCAATAGGTCCCCCGTTCGAATCCGGATAACGACGGAAAATGTTCTTCTCTAAAAATGTTCTCCTTTCACAT